TAGTTTGCACGCGCACAAGGACACAATGTATAACACGCACAGGTACGGAGTCATTAGACATGTTACTCTGATAATAGACGGATCAAGGAAAGCTTCATGCCTGGTACAAAATCCTGTTACATACTCATCGAAAATAGACATTGCGATTATCTTACGTCTTCAGGTTGGCTGTCCAAAATCAGTCGTTCATGCACTTATCTCCAAATCAATATCCAAATCTTCCGCATCCCAAACCATATCGACCAAAACCCAAGCCATAGCCGCCAAAGCTATTCCCAAATCCCCTGTTGTAGTTCCTAAGACCACGGCGGTGGCAGCTATTAAATGCATGCCTGAAGTATTGCTGTAGTATCTGTCCGTATCCTCCACGGCCGTAACCACGTACACGGTGAAGGTGGTAGCGGAGGGCGGCGACCAGGTACAGCAGGACAATCAGCTGGAAAGAAGAAGCATGCAGCATGCCACAGATTGCATGCATTTTCATCATGTCCACCAATATACACAGGAGTGGCTTGTCACAAGTGTAATGGAGATAAGTCAGTGCTGTTAGCCTTATTCCCCGTCATATAACCAGCAGTGAGAACAGATAGATGCATGAATATTTCGACTATATGCCTTGATCAAAACGAATATGAAATTAACTCTAAAATTCGAAATTGCCTGCAAATCCCACTCGATTTTTGGGGTTTTGTTTGAGACAGAGAGTGACAGTTTTACAGGTCACCAACATGCAGGGAATTAAACAAGAAGCAATTGCCAGCCACTAATATGATCCAGTGTATATCTAACTAAGGATAAAAATGCACGACAAACACGTGTACATGCAAACGAATTCAACTAAACAGGCATCATGCATCACGCACCACTCACGCATTCAAGGATGTCAAGTAACAGGCATCACGCGTCACGCATCATATATGCATGCAAACTATTTCAATAAAAACAGGGCGTTGTGCATGACACATCAGGCATCATTCACGCATGTAAACGATTTCAAGCCAGCACGCATCGCACATTAACACATTAATCACATTCGCATAACCGACCACGATTAGGTCTGTGCGTGACGGTCTGATTGCCGACTTCTTATAAGAATGGATTCCCCCATGTTCTTGTCTGGATGGTCCTGTGCTCTGCATGTGATTTTGAGCTCTAAAAGAGGATCATCTCAGCATCTAACAAAAACATGAGCAGCTGAGAATCACCTCTTTGAGCGCTGAAAGTCGCATACAGAGCACAGGACAATCTAGACAGGAAAATAAGCTAGGCCATTTTAATCATAAGCCGGCGATCAGTCAAATGTACAATGTGCCATACTTATGGCTGGCAATTGCCCCTTGTTTAATCCCACGAATGTTGGTGACTTGTAAAAAACTGTGGCTCGCTGTTTCAAGCAAAACTCTGACAAATCGAGTGGGATCGGCAGGTATCTTTAAACTTTTAGGTTTCTATTCATATTTGCTTCGATAAAGACATATAGCCGAAACATTAATGCAGCTATCTCCCTTCCTCCTGGCTATTAGACGAGGGACAAGGATAACAGCATGGTCTTATCTTAAGGTAAAATGTTCCTCGCAAATGCGCTGAACAACTTACAAGTGTGATAAATAACT